TTTCATTTTATGGTCTCTCTTGTCATATTTATAGCTCTACGAGCTGTCAATCAAATATTTTTGGGCCCGAGTATGTACTTATGGACCCAGGCCCCGATTGATCGGTCTATAATGCACTCGACCTGCGATTTGTGACTGCACATAAATAGTCCGAAACTTAACGGGAACCGTGTATTCTGGAATGGTGTGATATGAGGATCTATAGGTTTGTAAAACGATTTGGCAGCCAAAACATAACTGCGATAAGATGGGGAGGCGATAAGCCCAATTGCCGATACCGAAATACCCCCTGTGGGAAGTGGATCCAATATCGCCACGCTGCAGCTTCATGTCTGCCCGAATTTTTCATGGTGATAAGGATATGCGATAAAGGCACCCCCCACATGTCAAACATCAGCCTTCTTTCTTCTGTCTGCCTGATTGTCTGACTCACATAAACAATTTGATCGATGGTTATAGCCATCCAAAACTTTTTTGGCAATAAATTGGGCATGTATTTTGGAGGCAGATAAGACTCGTACTATCGTACAGATAAAGTTGACAAATATTTATGGGTTAAAGTATTTGAAAGCTTATCACGGAAACTGTTGGAGCAATTTAAAATACATTTATTGGATAAGAGGGCAAATAAATTTTATTAAATTTATTATTCAGGAAATATAATAAATATATATTAAGAAAAATATACTTTTATAAATATTTTAAACGGTTTGCTATGTGAATCATTCCCGCCAGAGCATAGCAACTGAAAAAGCAACAAGTGTTTTAAGAATTTCCTATCCGATAAAGTCCAAATATTTCTTTGTTTTTATTTACCTTCTGCTGTTTGACTTTTTCTACAGTTTTTTTTCCTCCAATTCAAATGTACAGTTTGAAAGTCATTGTCACAAGGTAAAATATAGGAATAAAGCTTTTAGTTAAGGAAAGCTTCTGATTAAAACAAGCTTTTTGTCCGTTGGTTAATATTTTAAAAAATATTTTAGGCCTACAAAAAACATTAAGAAATTAATCAAATAGTTGGAAATAAATACAAACATTTACCAAATATATTTGTGATTACAATTTTTCAAATATTTTAGAACAAACATTAATGCTACTACTAAGTTAACAAGTTTTAATGTTTATATTTATTCCAGCTTAGTTTACCTTTATTAAAAAAAAGGTTTTAACATTAAAATAATTTTAAATTATTTAATCTGATTTATTTATTTGTACAATTTATTGTTAGGATACAGGTTCAAAATAATTATATTTACATATATTTTAATATTATAACATTAACCTCATTCTCACATGGAAATTACAATTTTTTATTGCAGGAATCGCACTTTTTATTCGCAATCTGTGATCTTTAACTGTGAGTAAACAAAGAGCATTAATTTACCAATAAATAAAGAATACATTTTAATTATACTATGTAAGCTAGACATTGACCTAAAATTAAGATTTAAATTTACTGCAACCAAGAGTATAAATTTATCGTAACATATAAAAGTCCCATTAAGAGCACGGATTTTTGTAAACAAATTTCACCAGTTTGCCGGAAAATTGCATGTCTTTGTGCCCAAGGACAAGGCACCCACATTTGTGGTCCAAAATGTACACATCTATAGATACATTCACCTTGAGGTCGTCGTCGAGGACGAATTATTGATTTTGGGCCCTGCTGGCGGGTGGTAAACTAGAATTTATCAAATTCGGAGCTATTTACATCATGTTGGCCCTGTCACAAGTTCAAATGTAGGTCGTTGTGTAAAGAAAAAACAAAACAATGCAATGGATTTGACTTGTGGACGATTATGGTGGGTCAGCAGAAATTTTTGGTGGCTGCACTTGAACCAGCAACCGAATCGCGTGATTTTCGTGGGCCAACAGCAAGCAGAGCAACTGCAGGGAAAATAAAAATATTTACATTTATGCGCGAACAAACAGACGTAAAAGTATTAAACGTATTTGTTTAGTTCTCTTTGCCATGCGAGGGGCTCGTTCTACGCCTCAGCTGATTCCGATTGGTCGAGATTTTTGGGGCTTGGCTTCTGTGACGTCACACGGCGCACGCCCCTCTAAAAAGCAATATGTATATCTATCTATCAGATACATGTCTGCGTGCCGTGACGTAGCTGCTGACGTAGTAGAACTCATTCTCACACTCGTAAACCCACCAACAAATCGCAGAGCCTATGCCAACTTGGCCCAGTGCTAATGAGCTTTCTGTTGCATAACCCCGGTATTTTATCATTTTCGCCCTTTTGGCCTTTTCCCCATGTAATTAGTGTGTACAGTGTATAGTGTACAGCGAGCATTGCGTGTTCTAGGTGTAGATACAGATACTTTCTGTAGACGCAGATACTTTCTGTATCTATGCAAACGCTTTCGCAGCAGGTGAGCCTGCTTTTGGGCGCTCTGCGAGCCTGTTCCAAGCGTGGAGCGTGCCAAATGTTTGGTTGTATTTCAAGCCGCGCCATGAGCTGCGTTAACGCCCCCGGGGCCCAGTGGGGGGTTAACGGGAGCAGGGACAAGGTTAAGGGTGTTTGCAAGGCGAGGCGAGTACACAAAACGATATCAGGGTTGCGTTAGGACAAGCCCATAATGAGAATCTTTTAAAATGGATACATACAGTCAAAAAAACAAGAAAACTTTCAAATCTCAATTTATATCCTATTTACTGTTATTATTTAAGATACAGGATGTAAAAATGAAACTTTTAAAAGAAATTTTTTTTTTTTTAAAAAAAAAATATTTAAAACAAATTTTCTCTATACAAAATTCGTGGGCTAAATATAAAATATTGTTAAAATATTATAAGGAACATTAAACTACAAATAAATATAACAATTTATAAAAACGTATTAAAAATGGTAGATACTTTTTTATTTAAGTAATTACATACTTTTTGACTTCAAATATTTAAGATTTTATTTTAAAATATTTGTGTTCCTGTATATTAAGCTTCCTAAGTGTTTTAATATTTTTTCGAATTAGCCATGTGTCTGAATAAATTATAAACTGTGGAAAGCATTTCACATAAACATTTAAATGCTTGAGAGGTCTCAAAATAAATTCCTCTCACTTGAAAGCAATTTCACGTGCTTATTTATTAATCATTTGTATGCACCATATTTCCATAAATTCCTTCGTTTCGATATGAGAAGTGTATTCTCATTATCTGACCCATTTATAGCTCGGTGCAGTGTCATGTTTGCTTATTGAAAATGTTCCAAAGCATGGAAATGCCTATTTTCATCCGCCATGAGCCACCGTAAGAGGCAATCCATTATGCTCAGTGGCAGCCGCATTTCCTAGCCGCACAACAAACGTGATCCATTGAACGTACTCGCAGCTAGGCAAATAGTATTCCTACTCGCCTGGCCAAATGGAATTGGAAATGATAATGGAAATTCTACAATTCGAACAGGCATTGAGTGCTCACAAAGCTATCTACGAATATCTATAGGAACACGTATCCCCCGATTCGATTCTGAAGGCGGAGGGAGAGTGCGTTTGTTCGGGTGCCTTTATTTCTGTATTATCTTACTGTGCATACGGAAGTAGGGTAAACAGATTGGCACGTGGCGGAATTATATAGTATAGATTTAAATTATATTGCTTTCTTTGTAGTTATGGGATTTTATAAACAAACTGATGGATTAATCGATTTGCTTATAAAATTGTTTGATACACATTGGTGTAGCTATAAATAAATTCAATTCTTTTTAATATCTAACGAATATCAGCAAATCAATTATTATACCCGTTACTCGTAGAGTAAAAGGGTATACTAGATTCGTGCAAAAGTATGTAACAGCTAGAAGGAAGCGTTTCCGACCCCATAAAGTATATATATTCTTGATCAGGGTCACTAGCCGAGTCGATCTAGCCATGTCCGTCTGTCCGTCTGTCCGTCTGTCCGTCTGTCTGTCCGTCTGTCTGTCTGTATGAACGCTGAGATCTCGGAAACTACAAAAGCTAGAAGGTTGAGATTTCCCACACATATTCTTTGGCTTCCTACGCAGCGCAAGTTTATTTCAGCCACGCCCCTCTAACGCCCACTAACGATTTTAAAATGGGTCCTGCGCCCACATCCTTAAAGATTTCCGATAAGTATAAATGCAATTTTGTTGTGTATATTTATACCTATCGAAATGTAGAAGACATTTTTCAAATCGGACCATTCATTAAAAAGTTATACGCAATCAAAAAAATATATCTATCTCCCTCGCACTCCCTTTAGCTGAGTTACGATTATTAGTCGGGACACCAACCCGCACGCGTTCCCCCCTTTAGCTGAGTGACGGGTATTAGATAGTCGGGACACCAACCCGACTATAGCGTTCTCTCTTGTTTTGTTAAAATTTAAGCAGACATTATAAAATTAAAAAAATGTGGATTTCAAAAAGGGATTATTTCTTAAACTGAATACTTTTAAGATGTAATAATAATAACCCAGTTTTATTTAAAAATGTTCAACGACTGTCAATTGATGTTACTTGTTTTTTCACCAATGTTCTTATAAAGAAATTGTTTAAAAATTGATAAAATTGTCCTTGGGAAAGCTAAAATTTTCCATTGCGAAGGGCATTTTAGTAATTGTGCAGATCAATTGCAGATGCATAAATTTGCACTGCCTTGAATTAATAAAAAGCCCAGGAGATGGCCTCCATGTGTGTTGTGCAGCAAAAGTTGCATCCACAGATCCACGCGGTGTTGAATGCAATTTCAAGCAGAACGAGAGCCAACGATCCGAAATAAAAAATCTGAGCGAACGAAGGCGCCTGCAATTCCAGTTTGGATTTTGCCGCCAAGAGTCAATAGCCTCGTATGGATATAGAGTCTTCACCCCCTCTCCGCCCATAGTCGCTGGAGAGCGGGACCAGTTTCCCGAGGCCCAAGACCCAGAGAGCGGGCAAGAGCGTCAAAGTGGGAGAATCTGAGAATTCGGGGGAACTTGGGAGAGCGGCGAATCCACATAGAGCCCGGCGGAGGCCTTTTTTATTGTTTGGCGCGCCATTTGCTAGCCAACATTCGTTGCGTGCGGTTAAAGATACAAAGATACTTCCTCTGCAGTGAAAGATACTCGCGAGTGCCACTGAGGAAATCACACGTTACATATCCGAAAAAATATATATCTTTAAAAATTCCAAAACATATCACTTAGTTGGCTAATTAAAAGTGTAAAATAAACCAAAAACGAAAATTTGGCCAGCAACATGTTTGATTGTTGATGCGCATGCGCCTTAAAGTATTCTATGCTACGTGGGTGGCCGACGTGTTAAAGGACAAAAACGCCAGTCAAAGGACATTTATCAGACGTTGACGTATTATTCAACATTACTCTATTGCCATTACTAGTAAAGTGCAGTGAAAAGTGAACCAAGAAGCGGTTGAAATTAACCGAAAAATCACCGAAGAATATAGAAAACATATCCCCATCGTAGTTTACTACCGTAAAACCCAACGAAGTTTACATAATACTTTCAACATGTCCACCGCATCGTCCAGCAACTCCAGCGGCGAGGAGCCCAACAAAAAGTCCGGCTCCAACAATGAGGAGAGCTCCCACCTGCTGGAATCCGCCGAGAATGGAGCCAAATACGGCTCCAGACAAGCGGTCAAAATCGTAAAGGCCAGCGATAATGGACGCACCAACTCCACCCCACATGTAGGCAAAAATTCGCATGTTTTCTTAGATATGAACACTGAAAAAACAAATAAATTATATTGGATGGATTTTAAATTTTTTAAACCTAACTAAATCTTAAAATATACATGATATTAACTTTAGTAGAAGAGAGCGTTAATTCGCTAAATATTAGAATAATAAAAAACTATGATATTTATTTTAATAAAAGAGATTAAAAGATTTGTATATTTTAAAACTAGGCTGAATTCCAAATATTTCAATTTAAAAATATATTTAAGAAATTCCAAAATGTACGACCAATTTTCCTTTTTTTTCACAGTGTTTACCCAAGTTAACTTAATTTACGTTGTCCAGATGGCTAGCCAAGTTAATGCATCTTTTGATGTTGACCTTGGCGGAAGCCACGGCGAAAGTCCAATTAACGCAGTGCGAAAAACGCGACAGGAAATCAAATTTCATAAGCCAAAAATTACAGATACCCTCTATAAAACCTGTATAAAATATGGGTCTTTTTCACAGTTAGGGCATTTAAAGACTTTGCTATTTAATAAGGTATTTACACAAAAGAAGCAAACAATCTGAACTGTTTGTAAAGTAAATGCGTAGCTGAAAGCGGAAAGATGTTGCCGCGAAAAAGATACGAGATATAAATAGTTTACCAGGCAATTATCAGGCAGAAATGTGTATTTTTCACTCCAAAAGCAATCTCTATCAGCTGAGTGAAAAACAGCCAATTGAGAGTATAATTTCACATTATTTTTCTGACGATACGAGTTCAAATACCTTTCAAACATCATTTCCGCTTTGCATATTTTGAACGAAAAGCAATTATAATTTGTGTTTTTCCTTTTATCTTGAATTCAGTAGGTTTTTCTACAGCTTAGCCTTCATTGATGGATCGCCGAGCTTATCAAACTAATGAGTTCCGAAACCAATGTGGAAACTTTCTATTTTTGTTTTGGTGCTTATGTTGGACAAGGTCGCAATAGCCGAAACAAGACTATTGGAATACAAATTATTATCTGTAGGAAAGTCATTTTGCGATGCAAAGAGAAATGTGATAAGTGGGTACTTCAGAAATAGGGGCGTATCATCGATTCCCAGAAGAGAGATATTATTTATAACAATGAGCATGATACGGATTTGTTTTGGGCAATCCACACATGAATGATAATTTCACCAGACAAATTCAATTGAAACTCGTTCCACCGAATGCACAAAATGAGTCAACAATTTTGTGGGTGTTTATTTTAGTAAAAATAACAGACGCATTAAATGTGCCACCCCTTCGAAATCATTACAAATTCGGTACCTTATACGGGGACACTGAAATACGCACAACAACAAGATTTTATGACCATCATTTGAATACATTTTAAAATGCGACCCACAAAATTATGAAAACTTGACCAGTTCGATAACATAGTGTGGCACATTTTTCGCATATCAATGAGTTACCCCAAATGGTTCGTTGAAAAGTTTATAAAGCCATCAAGCTGTTGTCACTTTCGTTGGCCAACGTAAAAATCACCAAATTAAGCTATTACCAAAACTGCTTTGAATTTTTTAGGCTTTGTATTAAGAGTGATTCGAATTTTCAAGGCTATAGTTAGTTTAGGGATTATTTAAATAAGATAAGACCATACTTTCGGCTTTTATGCTCTAAATAATCCAAACTTGATAGTGTTTTATTTTTTCATATTTTAAGTAGCCACTCGTTCACTTAATATAGAATTCAAATTTGTTTTAGAATATACCTTAGGAATTTTTCACAACCTTTTTTTGGTAATATTTCCCATTACTTAGAATTTTATAAGAAAGTTCCTTGGAAAATGCGGCAGGAATTCTTTTAAATTCCCCTTATGCAAATGTTATGGCTAATAGCCCGGGATTATTGTACATAAATTAACCTGGACAACTCAATAATTATGAAGTATTTGAGCTTATGCTTTGTTTATAGTGAACCAGTTTAGCGGAATGCCACGGGGCATATGAAATTACCATGCTTATGACGCGCACTGTTGCGCCTGCCACTGACATTGAAACGAACTTGGACCTCGGATGGTGGGGTGGACTTGGGTTTTAGCACCCGAAAGTGGGGTACTCGGATTCCTAGAGCTGCCTTTAACTGGCAGTAATGCTAAATTTAGACTCAGAACGACAGGCAGCCAATGGATTGACCACATTAGCCGCAGACGGAACTCAAACGAACCGAGGCACTGAATCGAGGCAGATATCGATTTCAGACATTTCAGACGCGATTTGAACGCTTCGTTTACTCTCGACTGGCAATCTGGAGGTGTGTCCCCAGTCGACCCCAGTAAAATGACAGTTAATATGTGGGCGTACGCCCTGTTCCACATGGCCTTCTCCTTCTCCATCGCCTTCTACCTTTTCCAGCTGCAAATCTCGGCTTGCATTTTCACGGAAGTGATTTGTTCTCTACTCCTTCGTTTCGCGTGGGTCGAGATTGGCAATGGCACTTTGAGTGGGCTCTGCGAGTGGGCGGCGACACTTGGGATACATCCAGTAATAGGCGAAGAGAAAATGGCCATAAATTACTTACATGCGCCATGCGAAATGGCTTTAACACCGGTCTCCTGTTATAAGAAAATAATAATAGGAAACCTTATTATATTGCTTATACTTGTAATTATGATCTTTAAATAATATCCCTCTAAAATAAAGTCTTTCTGTTCAGGAAAAACGTTTAAGCAGAAACAATTTAATTTATTTATAAGAAATTGATTATATTGTTTACACATAGATACCCCTTTGCATTCACGGAAAACAAACAGAACAGGCCCCTTTTTTTATTCGAACAAAAAGCACAAATCACGTATCACACGTGCGATAAGTAAAAAAAAATAATAGAAAGAGCTATTCCAATTTTATTGTCAACTGGGAAATAAAGTAATTTCAAAAAGATAATGCAATAATTACCTTAACTCAAATTTGTTTTGAAAATTAATATAACTAATGTTTTATTTTTCCGAACTGTTGACTACTTTAGTCATTAGTAATACTAAAAAATTATATTTCGAAGAACTAAACATGTCCAGTTTCAGGTCAACTTCTTGTCGAAGGTCAAGATTTATTACAATACAAGAAAAAATATACGAGACACACCCCTTTTACGCACAGACAATAAACCACATATCACATTTCATATCATAAAATAGACCCCTGACTCAGTACTGTTTATAAACATGAAAATATCTTTGGAAAAGCTTTCGATAAATGAAAGCTCTGATATAGCCGGCTGATTCTTCTACATGTCCATAGCTGGAATTTTGGCAATTTACTGATTAGGCACGCGATAACCTCAGCTATATACAGCAATTCTACAGTAATTTATGGCCCAACGAACGGAAGTCAATGAGTACGGCTAGCAAGGTGGTCAAATATAGTTAATTGGTGCTGCTTGAGTGATACTTGACGCCTTGAAGGGGGTGAAATAAAAAGGGAATTTTTTTTTTATAAGAAAGATCTACAAGTAGAATGAAACCGAGTGAGTGGGAATTGTTCGTTGGTTATTTTGGTAATAAAATAGTTTTTTTTAATTTTATTGGATAATCTTCTTCAATCATTTTAATACTTCAACTGAAAGTTATATAATTTTGGATTTTAATTGGATTACAAACTTTTAGTCGTAAATCGTTAGTTAAATTTAAACATTATTATAATCGCTTAAGTTTCTAACCCTCTTGATAACAATCGGATTATATATATGCATTTATTCGTTTAATTAGGTAATTTCCATTCACCTAATCTCTCCCAAATATCTGAGGCTTTATCAGCTTATGCACAAGAAGTTTCATTGATCAAGTGGCGGCCTTAAAACGTTCAAGTGGAAACACATGCACATAATTATAGTACTTTACGCCTCAATTTTATAGGATTCCACCATTAAGGCTTCTCACTGTCTCAAGTTTGGGTTTCACGCGGCATCCCCAACTTCAAATATTCCCACCGGTTCCGCAGGGGTCTTAAGGTATTTTCCTGTCCGAAGCATGAAGATCCGAACCACTCGGCGTATGAATGATATCGGGGTGGCGAGTGTGCGTGAACTTGGTTCTATTTTTTTTTTTAGGTGACTTCTGTTTATGTGACCGGTGGGTATAATGAAATAATGAAGTACTTGAGCACAATCGGAAAGAGGAGAGCATAGCCCCGAATTTTGTTGGGAGAGTGCAATAAATATGGGTGCACGGGCGATTGACGGAATGCCCACTATCGGTCCGCCAATAAATGTCCTAATCACCGGGCGGGGGGTTTGGACCTTATCACTAACCATGCCATGATAATACTTGTAGGTAGCTAATAGTTGGCCCTCAGTCTAAGTCAGTTGGTCAGAGCAGAACGATCTAATTAATAGCGATCTCTTTATAGTTCGGAAAGGTAAACTTATTGAAAGGAATCAGGATAGATACTCTGCTAATTTGTATTTAAATAAAATAATAATTGTTAAGGATAAAAGGATAAACTTTTCCTACAATAAATTACTTTATATATTTTATAACTAAATTGTTAAGTGTTTATTCTTTTCCTACAAAAAAATACATTTTATACCAAGTTAACATTAAAAAGCAAGAAAAGCGAGTTTAAAATTATACCTCCAAACTAAAAAGTAAATTTTAAGAAAATAAATTTTATAATAATATTTTAAAATATTTTTTAAATGCAATAATTTATTCGATAGTTACTTATCAATATTTTTTAAATTTTTTTACAGGATCAGGAGAATTTACTGGGCAACATGGTGCACACGTCGACGTCGAACGAGTCGCGGAAAGTGACGCAATATGTGGCCGCCTTGGCAGCTGCTGGTGGCGCCTTAGCCTGCGGCACCGTCTTGGGCTGGACATCCCCGGCCGAAACGGATATCGTGGACAAGGGCATAGGATACGATTTCGAGGTCGACAAGGATCAGTTCTCTTGGGTGGGATCGGCAATGACCCTGGGTGCCGCCTGCGTGTGCATTCCCATTGGTTTCCTCATCAATATGATTGGTCGCAAGTGGACCATGCTGTTCCTGGTCCTGCCCTTCATCCTTGGCTGGGCCATGCTCATCTGGGCGACCAATGTGGGCATGCTCTACGCCTCGCGCTTTATCCTGGGTATTGCCGGCGGCGCCTTCTGTGTGACCGCTCCCATGTACACGGGCGAGATTGCCCAGAAGGAAATTCGCGGAACGCTGGGCAGCTACTTCCAGCTGATGATAACCATTGGCATCCTGTTCGTTTACGCCGTCGGAGCCGGAGTGGACATCTTCTGGGTGAGCATCATCTGTGGAATTCTGCCCCTCATCTTCGGTGCCATCTTCTTCTTCATGCCGGAATCGCCTACCTATTTGGTAAGTTTACACAGAGAAAATTATCAAAAGTTTTATGTGCAAAATAAGGGGTGAACTATTTTAAATAGTAAAACGCTTCATATAAATTTTATTTTACTTTGGATTTTTAAACTTTTATTTTTATTTTTAAAACGTTTTTACAACAAAGCGGCACCTAAAACGTTGTATGAGAATATTATCTTTTTTTTAAACTAGTATCAAGTATTACTACAAATATCAATTAAAATTTAACCAACCATGGTAAAATTCTAATTAAAATAATTCTAGTTTTGAAAACATTACAAATAAAATTTAAAAAGTTAAAAAATCGATTAAAAATAAAGAATATTCAGTAATATATAGGATTTTTCCTTGGTCTCAAGAATGTTTCCCGAGGAAATTCCCCCCAAAATGTAGTTATTCAACGACGCGTTCTGAAAAACAATATAATCAGATATAATCTGCCAGTCAATCAAGAATACAACTGGGAAAACCCAAGTTGTGTATCTTAAAGGTATGAAAACCACCACGAGTTTGCCATCAAAATCAAAAATTCCTTCTTGAGTGTAATACCAACGTGACTTATCTGCAAATCCCCATCGACAGGTTGCCAAAGATCGGTCGGAGAACGCCATCAAGTCCATTCAGTGGCTGCGTGGCAAGGAGTACGATTACGAGCCCGAACTTGCGGAGCTGCGTGAAAGCGATCGGGAAACCAAGGCGAACCAGGTCAATGTGTGGGCTGCCCTGAACCGTCCCGTCACCCGCAAGGCCTTGGCCATCAGCATGGGTCTTATGTTCTTCCAGCAGGTTTGCGGCATCAACGCAGTTATTTTCTACGCATCGAGGATCTTTGTGGTGAGTTGGAGGTTTTAAAAAAATTTAAAAATATGAATTTTGAGATATAAAGTACACACAAAAAAAAGCATGTCGCCGTAAGATCGATATGCGCATGTAAATACCTTCAATAAGCATATTGTTTTAACATTAAATTCTCATTTCGAACATATCGATTTTACGCATATGTTAAAATTGATATCAAGTTAAAATTGATATTACATAATGTCAAATCGATCTGCGTTTCATATCGATTTTTCTTTGGTTGTAAAATAAATTACTTATAATGGGAGATTCTGAAAAGATTTGTAAATAAGAATTTTGAGATAAAAAGTACACACAAAAAAGCATGTTGCCGTAAAATCGATATGCGTATGTAAATTTCTGCAATACGCATATCGTTTTAACATGATATGCTCATTTCCGCATATGGGGGCCGCATATCAAGCTAAAATTGATATTACATAATGTAAAATCGATCTGCGTTTTATATCGATTTTTTGTTGGTTGTAAAATAAATCACTAATTACCCCGACTTCTTTCCATTTCAGGAAGCCAATACCGGCATTGGAGCCCAGTGGGCCTCGATCCTGATCGGCATCATGCAGGTGGTGGCCACCTTTGTCTCCACCCTGGTGGTGGACAAGCTCGGTCGCCGCATCCTGCTGCTGGCCTCCGGAATCGCCATGGCCCTGTCCACCACCGCCATCGGCGTGTACTTCTATCTGCAGAACCAGGACAAGACCCAGGTGGAGAGTCTGGGCTGGCTGCCGGTGGCCAGTTTGTGCATCTTCATCATCATGTTCTCGATGGGCTACGGACCGGTGCCGTGGCTGATGATGGGCGAGCTCTTCGCCACCGATATCAAGGGATTCGCTGGCTCGCTGGCCGGAACATCCAACTGGCTGCTGGCCTTCGTGGTCACCAAGACGTTTGTGAACCTGAACGAAGGCCTGGGCATCGGAGGAACCTTCTGGCTCTTCGCCGGTCTGACGGTACTCGGTGTGATATTCGTTTTCTTCGCGGTGCCCGAGACCAAGGGCAAGAGTCTCAATGAGATCCAGCAGGAGCTGGCTGGCAACCGGTCGACTCCTCAAGCTATTCCCGCGGAAAAGTAAAGTAATGTCACTGATCGCAAACCGGAAGCGGAAAAGGCGGACCGGAAATCACTGTTAACTTGCTGTTAATTTACGTTCGATTTAGGTTCAAGTCCCTTTTGCGTTTTCGATGGATGAATTTGTTTATAGAATTTAATATTCGCTTAGATTTTCGGTTAGGCATAGCGAGAGATTCAGATTGTGAAGATGGAGATGGGGAAAATTGCAGCAAACTATAACTAAGAGCGAAGACTGAAGGTCAACTGCAGAAAAGCCGCGAGAATTTCGTTTTTGCAGCCATAGAAAAGACAACAGCAATTTAAGAAAAAACATATATACCTATATATATAAAAATCCACTAAATGTATGTATGCTTATTTAGTGTTATTCATCCAATCAACGAATTGTGTTTTACAAAGTTTTAAGGCATATTTGCATTTGCTCGGGTTTTTTAAAGTGTTTGCAAGCATTTGTTCCGTAATTCTTAATATATTTGTACTATATATATGTGTCTGTGTAAATGACCTATAAATATCAGTAGCTGTTCGTGTCCAAATTTCAATAAGCATTCAGTCGATTCACTTAGCATAGCCCGATTACGTTGTAAGCCACGCCTTTTGCCAATATATTTATTTACAAAGCGTTCTAGAGAGAGATATGTTTATATTTTATGTAATAAAACCGAAATATACACACTATATTTTATAATTTTACATCCGATATTTGAAGTTGATTTTTTAATCGCTGAAAGCTATAAAGAAATCCCCGTCTATCATTGTTAAACTTGCATATAGTATTTACGGAAAATTAAAACTACCGATAAAAGTAAAAATATATCAATATATTTAATATGTTGTAACTAATGGTGTTTTATTTCTTGGGAACCTCTTAGATATTTATTTTTTACTTTCACCAACCATTAAAAAATAAACGTGAAAAACTACAAGTACTAATTTTTTTGCAAAGCAATTATATTTCGATATAAACTACAATAACTCCATATAAAATATATAATATATATATTTTTACAACACCTATAAATAAATTAGATATAAACAATTTCCGCACATAATTTAACTGTCTTACGACGAGTCCTATAACTAATAAACCTTAGGTGGTAGAACAATAAGTTATAATCTCAGATGGTGCTTGTTCATTCAGTTTGCCAGAGAGAAGACTTCGAGAGATCCTTTAGAAGAATTTGTCTCGATCGAAGCTGAGGATTCGCAGCAGGCCATGTTCTGCCCCTACAGCCACCCAAGTGTGGGCGGGCGAATTCCAATTGCAACGAACGCAATTGGATCGAGTGAGGGGCAGAAAATGTGAGTTTTGCGGTAGACGCTTGGCGTCCAAATATGCGGACTTTCGTTTGTGGGGCGCAGGCACCAGCGGTTTGATTTGCACCCCATAGTCCCGTAGAAACTCATCAGCGCCTATGGAATCCATGTCCTTGGGCGTAGTGCCGCCCAGTTGATGCAACTCGGTGGTGGATACAGCCCGCAAGTTGACCATTGACTTTAGCAGCGCAGGACCACAGTTGAGATCTCGCACGTCCAGGAACACCAGGTCACCGTTGTCCGTCACAAAGACCATGTGATTTTGCTGACAATTCGTGTGCATGTCACGTGTCGTCGTCAAAGTTCCATCGAGGGTCCTGTGCTCGAACTGTATGCCCGATACACTAACTGCTATTGTGCGATTAAAGTCTGCAAAGAAAATTCCAATTATTCTTTAAGGGGCATTTGTTAAAAATCTATTAAAGCTTACGTGAACTGCTGACGACTAGAGTTTCACAAATAGGTGACCAGGTTAGATTTGCAATATATAGAGTGCAGATGGGATCTTGGGTCAGTATATAAGGTTTCGACAAGTTCGCAATATCATAGATTTTAAATTGACGTATGGAAGTGCCAACTGCAAGCCAACGTGGTCCATTATTGTCGTAATGAAGTTCCATGACTAAGGGGCAAAATCAAAAAAATTAGAAATATTTAATAGGGAAAAACTTTACCCATCAAACATACATTGGATATTTCGCTCGCCAATGTAAAAGAAATTCAAAGGCACATAATAGACTTGATTATTCCGGTTAAAACAGTTAATGTTGTCATTATCGCCAATGTCCCAAAAGGCGATATAGCCACTGCTGTAGCCTGTAGCCAAGAATGTGTGACCCAAAGACTGAATAGGAGGAGTAAATATTATTTCAGAAACAGAAATTTTGGTTTAAAAAACTCACCTGCGACCACACAACTTTGGTGCATTGATCCTGAACAGGATTGTTCACATCCAAGCTGAGTGTAATCAAGGAATCCAGTTGAATGACCACATTCTCGTCTGTCTTCTGATCTTCTGGCAGCTCCAGGGGCAGCGCATAAATACAGACATCACTCAAGGAATTCGCCACAGCCAAAAGGCCCAAACGATTCGATGACTTGTCATAACCACCGCTGGGCAAAAAGCAGAAACTATGAACTGGTCCATGGGGCACACGAATTCCATATTGAAGTTCAGGTTGCATGGCCCATGATTTCTTCTCATGTTTGCCAGAAGAAACCGTGCATTTCAGCAACATTAAAAGGGCATCTTCATCCTTCAATTTTGTGTGTCTGGCAAAGGCTTTTAACTTTGGACGCAGGGAGCACAGTAAATACTGATTCGTAACTTTCGGTGGTAGTGGAACCCAGGCGAGTTGCTTAATAGAGTGCCCCAGATAGCCCACATATTCACCTGATAAAAAATAAATTACAATTAAATCTGAATTTCCGTATTTTCAGCTATAAATACCTTCTTTGTTGAAGCCCTCAAATGGAGCCAATTGCTTCCAGTCGTCTTCATTGCTTATTTCGCCATAAGCATAGCGCATGGATGCCGTCTCCTTGGAGGGCAGCAAGTCATTAGCCTCCTGGGAAGATATCTTTGAATAGCTCGGCAGCAGTTGGTTGAACAAAGGACCAGTTTCATAATTGCGGTGCACACTTAAAAATTTAATGTAAATTTAGAATAAAATTCGATGAGCTGCGTGTCCCTGGTTAACTTACAATTCGTTCCATTTATGAGTCGCTCTAGCTTCCAAGTGGTGATATCGTGAGAGTACTGTCGTATATAAAATATATTAATCTTTGATATTTTTTATGATCATCATTTTACTCACATGGCTTCTGCAGGCACTCTCCAAGTATAGATGACCGTTTTAATTTCCTCTTTCTGTCAATGTCTCCTCGTCGGTTTGATTTCTTTTGCTTTGTTGTGGAAAAGGTCTCACCAAGACTTCCCTCCTCCTCGGAGCTTAGCGAAGACTCCTCGTTGGAGTCCACACCTTCCGATTCATATTCCTCCGACGACTCCTTGTCCTTGGTCATGTCGTAGTCCGAGGAATCGCCATCGAAATCGTTTTTAGCGGAGGTCTCGTCGCCCGGCTTCTGCGAAATTAGTGCCTCTCCTATTTTCTTTAATTTGGTTTCAGCTCTATAAAATAAAGAAATTTAATATGAATAAGATTTTATGTTATTATCAACTATTTCATGAACTTACTTTATGGTAGACTTCCTTTTGGCACGCCCTGCATTGCTGTAAACCGTTTCATTGACACTCGCTTCTGCTGGCTCCGCATCTTCATCATTCTGGGACGGCCCAAAGCGCTTTGGACAGGTTCTTATGTGTACGGGTAGCGAGAGTTTGGTATAAGAACGCTGGCAGAATTCGCAGAGGATGCGCTGCTTGTTGCCACAACCCTCCAAATGAAGCATCATGCCCAGGTAAGATCCCAATTGGTGGCTACATAGACGACACGTTAGCTTTTCGGTGCCATTCTGGAGATAGTTCTTCATCATGGTCATCACACCAGCACGCGTTATCTTCTGTAAATAGATTGCAGATTAGAGTTTTCTTTTTTTAAAAATTAGGATAATTTTGTACGCACCTTGGGTGCTTCACCCACAGGCCAACCCACTCCGTAATGCTCTCCTAGATGACGACGCCAGTTGTCCTTATCGCAGCGTGCCAAACACAAGCCACATTGCAGTGGACCATCTCCTTTGCCGTCTTCCATTAGATTTTCATCCGTTTCCAACTGCTCGCGCTTTCTAATGAGCAGCAGCCGTAGATTAAAGTCAACTACGCATATTGTTTCTGAATCCCCCTCAGTCTTCGACTTTTTGGCTGACTCTGATTCCAAATCAGAAGGAGCAGCGCGCTTTCTTCCCCTTTTCGAAGGCACCTTTGGCTCTGCAGGTATTGGGGAAATCATCTCTTCGAAATTCGTGGGCCTGCATTTACGTGACTTTGGAGTTGATGCCTCAGCTGGTGCAGCTGCAGCAATACTTCTTCTGCCTTTCTTGGGAGCAGATTCTTCGGCTTCTTGAACTAAAGGAATGGGTGTTTCTGTGGGTGGAACTGTACCGTAACGAGATGGAGTCTTCCGTTTGGCCCGCGCAACCAAAGAATCAGTTGATTCTGATGGCTGAGGTTCTTCTAATGGAATAGAAATCATGGCGGGCTGAGTTTCTGAAGCAGCTAGTGAGTTTGATTTGGAAGTACATCTTTTTCCTCTTGACTTTTTAGTTACTGTTGGTGAAACTAATGTAGTTTGATCTTGTTTAATCTCTTCCAGCGATTCTTCTGGACTTAAGTCGGTTGTTGAAACGGGTTCGTCTTGAGTAACTGGTGGAACTAATACTTTTGGTGTTCTACTTCGAGATTGTCGTTTTTTATTAGGTTTTGCTTGCTTTGGTTCCTCGGAAGCTGTAAAATCATTTAACTTCTCCTGTGATTCAGTATTCAAAGAGGTTTCCTCAGAATCTGCAACGTCTGGAGTTTGGACAACAGTTGGAACTAATATTTTTGGTGATTTACTCCGAGACTTTCGGTTTTCTGCCGGATTGACATTTTCACTTGGTTCCTCCGGTTCAATAACTGCGGCGCTCGTATTCCCTAAATCTTCACCAACAGCTACATCAGTATCTTTTACCTTTTCAGGTTCAGAAAATTTGACCTTATTATAACGAGATTGTCTTTTTCCCCTTGATCGTAGTGAACTTTCAGCTTCTTTCGGTTCCTCTGAGACTTTCAATGGTTCACTTTCTGTTATAGGAGGTTCAATTACTGTTGAACCTATCAGTTTAGGTGTTTTGCTCCGAGTTTGTCGCTTGTCATTCTCTGCTTTCCTAGAACTCGTATCCTCAGAATCAAGTTCGGGATTTTCAACAGCTTCAGGTTGAGTAACAGGTGGATCTTTTGTTTTTGGCGTCCTGCTACGGGATTTTCGTTTTCCTTTTGATTTTAAGGATGTTTCTGGCTCCTGAAGCGAATTTTGGTGTTCCAAATTGTCCATTGAATTTGTTTTTTCTGTTGTTGTTACAGGTAAATCTTTCTCAGAGGATTTTATATCGGGAAGAGTTTTTTCTGTAGCTTTAATTTCTTCCTCTTCTCTTTTAGAATCTTCCAAATTGTCCATCAAATTAGTTCTTTCTGTTGTTGTTACAGGTAAATCTTTCTCAGAAGATTTTATATCGGGAAGAGTTTTTTCTGTAGCTTTAATTTCTTCCTCTTTTCTCTTAGAATCTTTACTCTCTTCAGTGAGTTCTGAATTTGCTACCGATTCAGTTGAAGTGACTTTAGTTTTAGGAGTTTTTCGTTTTCCTCTTGATTTTCCAGATGTAGCAGGTCTTTCAATGTTTTTCTCTTCTGTCTCATTTTCTTTGAAATCTATGTTCTCTGATGTCGTTGAGGGCAGAGTTACCTCGGGAGCTACGCTATCTTCCAGTCTTTCCTCTGTTGCTTTACTTTCTTCAGAAATTAGTTCGGTAGCTTCGATTGCCTCAGTTTCTACAGGTTTTTTAGTACTACACCGCGACTTTCGTTTTCCCCTAGATTTCTTTGAATCTGTAATTTCCAAAGGTTTCAAAGCTTCAGTTGACGTTATAGGTACATTTACATTATCGGATTCACTAATCACTTCCTGAATTAGCTTTAATTCTGCATTTTCTGAGGAAGCTGGAGTTTTTGAACGACTTCGCGTCTGTCGTTTTTCAGTGGCTCTAATATTCGTCAAACTATCTTTGCTTGTGGTAGGTTTACTTGGAGGGTCTATTGCAATTGTTATTGATTTGGTTGATCTTCTCCTGCTTCTCCGCAATTTACTGTCAATAACTGATAAATCATTTTCGTTTATCAAAGGTTCTGTAACAGTTTTCGGTTCTTTGTTTTCATTGGAAGCATCCGCAAGGGAATTTTCAGGAGTATTTGTTTCTATATCAGATTTGGGAGGTTCATCAATGTTTGGACCATCTACCGTAGGATTAACTGATTCGATTGGAGTTTCTGAAGGATAATCCGGTTGCTCCTGGGAAACACTGACCTGTACATCATTACCACCCTCAGTAGATTTATCATTTACTAGTTCTTCCCATGTAGTTTCCTTTCTTATTGGATAATCTTCAGAAGTTCTGTTATCATCGATTGATACGTTATCGCCGAAATCCATTGGACTTGTAGGCCCACCATTACTGCTACAAGAATCATCAGAAAAAGCTTCCACAACCGTATGTTTCTTAAAAGTATACTGAGTATCGACCTCGGCACTCTTCACTGGTGGATCCACCTCTGTGGACTGCTGCTCCTCCTCGGTCTCATCGTAATCGGGAGTTGCATCATCACTTATGTCCGTTTCGTTGAGCTTCATTTGCTTGACACGCTTACTTCTCACCGGAGTTTTAGAACGCTTCTCTTCTTTGTTGTCGAAACCCAAAAATATGGAACCATCATCGTCACTTGTGCTGGAAGTGGGAATGCGACCACCCACATTTGCACTGACCGGATGGAGAAATTCAAAATGGTTTGGCTTTTCTGGTAGATTTTTCTGGCCAACTTTTGAGGATCTCTTGCTGAGAACAGGTCGCGTTTTTACGAGTTTTTTTCGGGGTATTTGTTTAGAAGGTTCTTCTGTTTTTGGCATTGGCGATAGCTTCTTGATTTGTGGCATCACTTTTTCCGCAGTCAAGTGACCAATTAAATTCTGTATTCCTGTGACTTCGGATGAGATATTTGCTGTAGTATTTAATTCCAAAGACTCCTTGCGAAATGGCAATTGAGCCTCGCCTTGGGGCAAAGGTGGATCCTGTGAGAGGATTTCTATCAGGGAGACATTACTTTTTGATGTGGCGGGCTGTGAATCCTCTGGGTTATCTTGATTACTGCTTTTCGTATTGGTTTTACTTTTGGGCATTTTAGGAGGATGATACAATTGGGTGAGATCTCGTTCTGTCGATGGTTTTGTTGGAATTTCATGTTCTTCCTGAAGATTTATTACAGATTTTTCGACTCTCTCTTCTTCGATTAGGGTTTTTGCAGAATGTTCTTGAACTGAATTGATTTTTTCTTCCTCTCTGGACTGGATGACTTCCTCTTCTCGCTGATTCTCCTCTGCTGGCACCTTAGGATTGTATTTAACACTAGATAAATTAAGATTTACTTTGTCTGAGCTCAGGCTATCAGAATTGACTATTACCTCTATTGCTGCGACTCCGTATCGATCCTCCAGCAAGCTGTGATCAGTGGCCATCGCTCGCTCGTCTTCCTCTTCGAATTCTAGCTTTGTCTTCTTTGCTTCAACTGGCTTTGGGATGCTGGGTCTTTTAGTGCGTTGCACTAAATTAATCTTGGCTTTTTTGGATCTAATAGGTGGCTTTTTAACGGGCTTTGTCTCTATCAGAGGCTCAGGATCTGACAGAGGCTTGCTCTCTTCCAAAGGCTCTACAGACTTCTCAGCTTCCGCTCCCAAAGTTGTAGATAAATCAGGATTAACTATTTCCGCATTGGCTTCCTGAACCTCTGTTGTTACATTTACAACCTCATCGTGTGGATTTTCTAAGTTGACCTGTACATTTGTCTCCTCCACAACTGAATCTACAACATCTTCCACATCCACCAATGACATATCCATTGTGGCCACGCTGCTTTGCATCCTCATCGCATTTGGACTGATGCGTAGTACATTTGTGCTATCGCTGTTAACATCTAAAGTAGCATGCAAAATGCTCATATCGTCCATTTTCACAATCTTTCCAATGGGCAAATCGTCCTCGGGAAGGGGAGATTTTTTGACCGGCGACACACCAGTAAAAGAACATCCGCCTCCTCCGAAAAGAGCGTTCAATCTTTGCTCCTCCGGTGAAAGTTCCATAAAGCTGCTTTCATCCAGATGATTTTCGGCCGTCAGTTGGGCTATAAAATCTACTGCAGATTGGATTTTTTGTACTGGTGCCGCCTGCTTTGGTGATGTGGTCACCTCCGAAGAACTTGACTCCTTGTTTAGCCTTTCCGAGAATTCGTCTGGTTTTGAAGTGGATGAAACACAAGGAGGCAAGTCAGGATGGCTAGGCTCTGAGGATTCTCCCTCAGGGAACTCCTTCGTTTCATAAGTCGAAGGAATACAGACAGGCAAGTCTAGAAAACTGGGTTCTTCAGGCAGGTTTTCTGGTTCGGGCAAAACTACAACTTTGTTGATTGTGTGGTTACCTCATCTATCAATTCACTTCCTTGCGGAGTTAAAGGAATATATACAGGAGCCGTTTTTTCAGCATGTTCTTTTGGTTCAGTAGTGGCTAGCTTCAGAGGACTTGACTTTGCCACCGTGGCTGATTCTTTCCGTTCCGGAGTAGAGGGAATATATACAGGGAAATCAAGAGGGTTTGCAATTGTGTTCACTCCTTCCGTTTCCGGTGTTAATGAAACGTATTCTCGATGTTTCAGAGGGCTTGTTTTGTTGGTCAACTCTTCATAATATTCTTTTGGTTCGGGAGTAGGAAGAGGTTGATGAGGCAGAAGAAAATCTCTTGATGTGTTAGGTACGGATTCAGGCAACTGTTCAGGAGTTAAGGGGGTATAAACCGGAAAGTTTGTAGTCTCCTCTTCAGGAAGTTCCTTTGGTTCTGTAGATTCCTTTGGTTCCAGCGGTAAATTACCCACAGGTAATACATTTGAATAAATATTTGATTCTGTACTTAAAATCGGATTGTGTACGGGAACGCTACTCCCTTCAAGAGTTGGTGGAGCAAAAAGTGGCGTGTGTTTTCGCTGAAGTATTGAGTTAATAGTAAAAGGCGTTTCAATTGTTGGAGCAAAATCCTTAACTGGTTTCGGTGAAGGAGGAACTTTCACCTGCTCCGCCTGACTGCGAATCTCCTTGGCCATCTCGGCCAGCTTCTCCCGCGATACCTTGAACTTGTTGGCGTTCATGATAACTTTGCCTTTAATCACTTTCGTTGGTAGATTAGACTGAACGGGGGCTTCCACAGGTTTCACCTGAATCAGAGTGGCTGACACTGGCGGATTTGGCAGACGTAGACCACTTAAATCGATCTTCTCATTGGGTGCCAACACCTTGTTCTCCAGCACAATCAGAGGTGGTGAGGGACTCTTGTGGAGTCGAGTGGGTAGTGAAGGAACTGCTTGAGTTACAGGAGCTACTGGAATTTGTGGAGGTGGCTGAAACACATGATGTTGTGGAAATTGCGGGGAAATTTGTGCCTGCTGCTGTACTGGAATCCTTTGTGGACTTTGGATAACTGTCTGCACTGAAAAGTGAGCAGAACGCGGTTCACTCGTAGTCGACTGATTCATCAACGGCTTGCTACTCGATTTGCACATGGCTCGATGTTTGGGCAGCTGATTGACCAGGTTGAGCAGCAGCGGTGGCTGCTTCGGGCGGACAGTCAAGTCCGCCTTGGCAATGGGCACAGAGAAGGCAGCAGGATTAGCCGGGATTCCTGCACTGCGAGGAGCTGAACTCTGGGCAGAAGATGCTGCCTTGGAGGTTGTCGGCTTCGGCTGAGGCTGCACGGTGGTGGTCATGTTCTTGTTAAGTATCCTGTTCTTTAATAGCGCCTTGACTTGCTTCGATCGATCGGCTTCCGTGGGATTAGGGAGCGGCTGAATGGGCACCGTCTTTTCTATATATTCCGAGATCATAATGCGTTTTACTAACGGTTGCGGTGCTGTAAAGTAAGAAATAAAATGATTAATGAAAATGAAAAGTTAGTTTATAAGATGCTGAATTTATTTACAATTAAAATGTTGTGTAAAAATTAAAGTTTTATCAAGTTTAACAACTTTACGAACATATCATTTTAAATATAATATCTATTAATTGTAATTAATTATAAATAAAAATAATACAATGACAATTAGGTATAAAATGGCTGTAAAAAAAAAAGGAAATCCCTAAAATTCAATTGAAAAGGGGAAAAGATGCATATCATCATTATGCAAACACTAAATAAAACCGGCTAGAGCATATGCATACATAAAAGAAAAACAATCCCACAAACGAACTGCAGTTTGGCCATGCTGGGATTTGAACCCGGGCCAAAAACGAACTATGTTCGCAACGCATCGACATTTCGTGTTTAACCTCATTTGCCGCGCGCACTTACAGGTTGGACCATCGAAAGAATATAAACGGGAGTGGCGAAAGTGACACTTGAAGCTAGTTTGCGGGGTGGGTATTCAAAAAAAAATAATTCACCTATGCACGGGCAATATAGTTTATGAATTCACTGGTTTTTGTTATTTTCTTGTTTTTTTATTTTTATTAAGTTATAAAGTAACTTTTTTTAGGAAATTAGATTTTAATTTTTTTTTTATTTAGTTAAATTACCTAAAACTAATTTTAAATATTTAAAATTGTATTTAAATACTTAAAATGTTTTTGATTACATAACTACTTGAATTATTTATTGTACCGAACATAAAATAACAAAAACTCTGGAATTTTGAGACTATAATCCCCACGCATAGGTGGTATTCTTTTTACCGCTTCGAAAATTTATTCACAAGTCCTCAATTTTGCAAGTCACAGCTCTGTGACTGTATAAAACTTATATAAACAGTAAATGATAATGAATACTTTTAATTTGTAAAAAATATTTAAAATATTAAATATAAAAAAAAATTTAGTTTAGAAATTTATTAAAATATCAACAAAATGGGTTAAATGTCCCACAGTTAACCTAAAACCGCATTTACACTCTAATGAACCGCCTTATTTTTCCTATCGTCCCCTGTTGTTGCTATATTTATATATTTTTAATTATAAAATAAAAATAAAATTTTTGGAGAAGTGGGAAAAATGAAAAAGCATTCGCGGTGAGACGAACTCGGTTAGTAAAATCAACGCGAACTATAAACTCTTCATCTTGCCGTCGCCTCAATCAGCTGCGCCATCGCCTCGGTTTTCGCTCGCGTGTCCCAAACTCGTACACCCAATTACATAGAGGATTTCGGAAACACTTTGGCAAAATCCCCCGACTAGCTAACGGTTTTTGGGTAATGCACAGAAATTCAAAACATAAAAATAAAGAAAATGTTTTTTTTTTGGTTTTACCAGGCTGACGCAATTGTTGTTGTGGCGGCTGCAATTTGCTCTCTGCCGCCGCCGACGTCGACTGCGCAGCGGCAGAGGGGGAAGGTTTACTGGTTGTTGGGGCTTCCACCTTCCTGGCCTCCAGTTTCTGCTTCCTCAGGACCTCGGCGAGCTGCCTATCGAGTCCCGCTTCCTTGAGTTTGTTGAAATCCAGCTGAATTTTCTTAATTATCCGCTTGGGCGGAGCTGCAGTTTTAGTGACTTGTGGAGTCGGGGCATTATTCGTAGTATTAGAATTGGATGGATTTCCAGTGGAGGTCACTGCCGCCGGTGGACCCATGATGATCTGCCGCCTGGAGTCTTCCATTTCCGCTGCTACTTGGAAATCCCCGTAAGATTGCAACACCTATTCCATGAAAATGACGACAGAAATCCGAATTCTTTCACTCTAGAATTGATTGCACGCCTCTCGTTGGTTTGTGTTTTCCGTTTTCCGGCATTAGCCAGGCTCTTAGAAACGATTAAATCTTGCTTTTCCTGGCTTAATACTCTTCACAAACACTGTTTCTACTTTAATTCAGGGCCTTGTCTGGGCATTTTTCACTTTTTTAAAATGTTAAAAAGACCAAGCATGTGCAACTCGAATTAAGTAGGACCATTTCCCGAATGTCAAATGTTCCATAGGAATCGTTAATAAAATATACTGCGTTTCAATCGAAAAATACCATGATTTTTTCGAAATATGTGAGAGAAATAAATAATTCTAAATTTTAAAAATAATTACAGTGACCACTAATACATAACAATAACTAAATCCAAGAGAATTCACTGTGAAGATAAATAAATTTAATAATAACTAATTCAAACATTTTAATTAAAATTCAAAAACTTTTTTTAAATCAATAGGGGATTCCCTAAACTGTTGAATTGCTGAATTGTTGAATTTTGGTCAGCTGTTAATCAGCTGTTCCATACAAAGTAACCTTCAGAAATTTCAGCAATTCAACAGCCTCGGGGCTGATGAAAATTTTGTTGAATTGCTGAAAAGCCAGAGTTGTCACCTTTTTTTAAAAGTCGTGGCAACTCTGTAACATTTTATTATCACCAGTACGCATTATTTATTTTAAAATCAACTCAGAATGCATATTTGTGGTTCTTTTTACCTTGGTAACACTTTTAGACAGTAACTAGCAATAATAAATCAAATTTTACAGGCTTTAAGTTCCTTAAAATTGTTCAACAAATAACAGCTGTTTGAAAATTCAACAGGAACCATTTTGGGTCGTTTCCTTAATTGCTGAAATTTTTTGTTGAATTTTCAACAATTCAGCAATTTAACAGTTTAGGGAATCCCCTTAATGCATTTTTTATTTAGGCCTAGTACTCACTTCAATCAAAAATCCAACGAAACGAAAATTTCTATACAAAAATGGCAGGCGTAAAATTTCGTGTTCAAAATTTTGCATGGAGATTTTCATTTCGTAAGCTTTTTGATTGAAGTGAGTACTAGGCCTTAAACGGTAACAATTTATTTATATTTAAATTAAATACCAAATCCTGCCCACAAACTATCGATTGCCCACAAGAAACTCCCACCACTAGTTTGGCTACGTTGACAACCCTTCTCTGTACAGTGTACACTACCAACCACAATTATCCGGAAGATTTTTACTTTAGCAACGCGAAAACGTTTTCCTTCCCCACGGATTAAAAAAATAAAATAAAGCCGAGACAATGGACTTCCAGAACCGCGCCGGCGGCAAGACCGGCAGCGGAGGCGTGGCCTCCTGGTCTGAGACGAACCGCGACCGCAAGGAGCGACTGCGTCAACTGGCCCTGGAAACCATCGATCTGAACAAGGATCCGTACTTCATGAAGAACCACCTGGGCTCCTACGAGTGCAAATTGTGCCTGACGCTGCACAACAACGAGGGCAGCTACTTGGCCCACACGCAGGGCAAGAAGCATCAGGAGAATCTGGCGCGGCGAGCAGCCAAGGAGGCCAAGGAGGCACCCTCATCGTTGCTGGCGCCCGAGAAACCGCGCGTGGAGCCCAAGAAGTTTGTGAAGATCGGACGACCCGGCTATCGGGTGACCAAGCAGCGGGAGCCCAGCAATGGCCAGCAGTCGCTGCTCTTCCAGATCGACTATCCCGAGATCACGGAGAACATCGTTCCGCGCCACCGCTTCATGTCCGCCTACGAGCAGAAGATCGAGCCGCCGGACCGCAAGTGGCAGTATCTGCTCTTCGCCTCCGAGCCGTACGAGACCATCGGATTCAAGGTGCCCTCGCGCGAGGTGGAGAAGAGCGAGGGCAAGTTCTGGACGCACTGGAACCGCGACACCAAGCAGTTCTTCCTGCAGTTCGCCTTCAAGTTCGAGCCAAAGATTCTCCCTCCGCCGCCGCCGCCGAGTCTTCATCGGGCGCTCGGAGGTCCTCCCGGCGGATTCCCCATGCCGGGACCTCCGCGGCCAGCCATGCATCCCATGTTCAATGGCGTTCCTCCTCCGCCACCCATGTAATCCTGGGATTAACGGACCTTCTTTTCAATTAATAAACAATTTTACACTTAATACAACTCGTGTGTTCTTGTATTTCTCTTTTCTGCCTTAAGAATTTGTAAAAATATTGCTGGGTATCTTTGTAAACGTACGTCTTACAAATCGATTGCGTTTAAGGTAGTTTAACTTAAATCTAATCCTAGGCAATTTACTATACAATTGTCTGGGTTTCCTTAGATCTTTTCGCGCTTCTTAAAGTTTCGCTTAGAAGCACATCGGGTGATGATGTCCGAAACGTGCGGCTTGTGCTCGAATATCTTCATCAACTGATTCTGCGCCTCGTTGATGCCATCGGTGATGATCTTGCTGCGCTGGATGTTGCCCTGCAAAGTGATTTGCTAGTTAGTTGGTTTTATAACAATATATATATATATAAATAGGAACCTTTAGCAGCTCAGTGACGCGCTCCAAATCGCTGTTCTTCTCCTTGTCCTTCTCCAGTTCCTGCAGCATGGTCTCCAGTCTTCCCAGGCTGACCACCTCGGATTCATTCTGCAGAAATACATTTTATTATCTATGCTATTATTATTTTCATAAACTTTTCCTACCAAATCCTCCATTTGCGAGCGTAGATGATAGATTTTCCATCCATTTATTTTCCCTTGGACATTTGGCTGATTGGCTAGATCAATAACCGTGGCTCGTCGCTCTTCCCTTGGTTTTACATCCGTATACCGATGGAAATGGTTGTTGGCCAACTTGTGCGTGGGTTTATAAGTCTGTAAATATATGGTAAATATATAAGTAAATTCCTCTAAATGTTATATATCCTTTAACTCACATTAAGCAGCGCACAATTGCGTGGACGACGGATGACAAAGTCCACCGGATTGGCGTTCTCCTTGTTGCCCGTCACAGCGGGTGTGCTATTGCGATGATTGGCATCACCTGGCGCACTACTAGGCGCAACTCCCGGTGTCGCCGCAGTGACCAGTAGACCTCCATTGTTGTGCTTCTGCATGTAGGATGCTCCAGCCGGCGGCGTGGGTTCTGCACTCGGCGGAGGCAGCGACAAAGACGCCTGACTTTGAGTGGAGTGCTGACTGTCGTTGCTAAAAGATAGATAAAGGATTATTAAATGGTTTGAATTCTTTAAATTCCATTAACCCACGTTGATCGTCGCGCTTTCTTCCTGGCGGAGCAGTCGTAGCTGGAACTGGAGCTATTGCCAGTGCCATTCATCCGCGTGCCCGCCTGCGTGGATCCCACCAAATGCGGTGCCTGCTGCTGAGGTTGCTGCTGCTGCGGCGTCGGTGCTTGCACGTCCACAAAAGCACTGCTCCCGCTTCGCGAACCAAGTGAAGAGTGGCCCAGGTTCTGCTGCATCGATTGGTGCGAAGAGTACAACTTTAAAAGAAGAACAATTTAGTAAGTATATTTTTTTAATGCAAATATTTGTGAACTAGAGAGCTGCGTGAATCAATCGATTTTTGTTACTATGATGAAACCATGTTGAATGCCATGAAATTTCTGATTTGTGAAATAAATTGAATGTTTTTCTTATTCATTTCGAATTGAATTAATGAATGAATAATTTTTATGAATTTTGTAAATTTGCAAGATTATTTTTGTGCTTTCTTTTGAGAACAAAAAGTGGAAAATTTTTAACAAATCAATGTTAACTGCTTAGGAAATAAAATTCATACAAAATTATGGCCCTTTCTTCTTCCAAAGAAATTGTCGTTTGAATTATTTCGGAATTAATGCCATTCATATCATATAAATTCTATTAAACTCAAAATTCTAATTAATTCATTCATATAAAACAAAAAATGCAAATTAATTCATTGAATCCATTTATGAAGGGCTATATTTGTGAACCCACCTCGTTAATAGGATTAAAGTGCGTGGAATTGTCGCGTCCACTTGAGCCTCCAGTGGCTGGCGTATCGCCAATCCTGTCCTGCAATTGCTGATCTACGCCTGGCGACGAATTAGCAGACACTGTAGTCGATCCATCCGAAGAAGCGGGGGAGTCGGCCCGCGAATTTCTCGTTGAGGAAACGGTGCCCACAGTGGTTGGCACACTGGCCACGCTACTGGCCACTCCATGGGCCACCCGCTCGCGTTCCTTCTTGGCCAGCGCTTCCACGGTCAGTGCGGAGCTAACTGCTGGCGGCACCGCCACGGAAACGGGCTGAATATTGAAAGTGGTGCCTGGAGCGGGCGGCATATTTGATCCACTGGTATTGCTGGCCATTGAGAGGAGGGTTGGACCCAGATTTTTGGCCGCTCGAATGGGAGAACCGTCTGCATCCCGTTTGCGCATGAAGCCGGCAGCCTGTTGAGGATTCCCTGCCCCCGTGGTAACTTTTACGGACGTGTGCAGCGGAATAACCATGTGTTGCGGCGGCGCACTGTTCGGACCAGCTGGTATTATTAGCTGCTGATGGCCAATGGTTCGCGTGGCCGCTCCACCAGCTCCCGATGGCAGAACAGTAAATGTGGCCTGCGATCCAGCTGCAGCTCCCGTGGCTCCCGCATGACTGGCGAAGGGCAGCGAGGACACCGAGAGGCTGCTGCCGCCGGCGCTACTGACTAATTGCGCCTGCGCCTGGGTGCTCTGCGTCACCGTTGTGGTGGTCAACGAAAGAACGCCCGTGGAGGCGGAGGCTGGCATGGATTCGTAGTAGATCGTAGCAGCACTTCCCTTGTCATCGATCTGTGAATGAAATGCATAATTAATAACTGATATTAGTTGAATTATTCACAACCAGGGTTTGGAATTTAACACACATGTTAAAAACATGAAATATTGTATTTTACAGTGTGAATAAAATTGTTGACATATGTGTCAAATACAAAAGTGTAAAATGTGAAAAATAATTGTTAGCACATACAGCTCACTTGTGTTATAAATACGTCGTATTTTTTACACACTGTGTTTTTAACACAAATGAAAATTACATTTCATTAACGAATCGAAGTGAAAATGAAAAACCAATATGGGCCATTATATCTTATATGTTAGTTTAAAATATTTATAAATGCTCATCTATATGAATATACGTGAATTTTCAGCTAAACATCTAGATTCTAAAACTTTAATGTCAAAAACCCATTGTGTTAAAAACATGCTGTGTAAAAAACGCATCGCGTAAATAACAGAAGTGTCATGTGTGTGTTATTTATGTTTCTAATATATTTAGGATAAAATTTTTTACACACAAGTCAAAAACTTTTTTTGAACCTAACACTTTGACATTTGACATGTTAATAACACAAGTTTTTTACAGTGTGTGTTATTTTCCGAACCCTGTTTACAACTAACCTTCATTAATTGGCTCTGTGAAGCCACCACTGGATTCCAGGTGCGTTGAAAGCCAGTCACTGTGGCCCCGCTAGTGCCGGATCCATCTGCTCCTGGCGCAGATGTGGCCGGCGTCATCATCATTTTGCCGAGCGTAATCCCACTGGCGTTCTTGATGGGCGTCAGTGTGCCAGTGAGTATATTACCACCTGGTCCCACGCCTGCTCCCCTGCCGCTGATGGTCAGAGGGAGGACAGTGGCTCCTCCAGCCGCCGAAGTGGCCCCCGTCACCGAACTGGGATTGACCACGCTGGCCGAGACATTCGGCACAGGCACCGCCTGGATGCTGGCCACTCCCTGCGGCGTCATCGTGGGCCCAGTGGCTCCGCCGGCAGTGGACAGCTTGCCAATCGGATTGAGCTGTGTGATCGTTAGCGACGGCTGCACTTTGGCGGTCATGGTGACCGGTGGTCGAATGCCTGCAGAAGGTATTATATAAGATTAATAAAAGGATGAGCAAGTAACTTATAATAAAGTAAAGGATCAAGCTATAAAACCTTTTGGAAAAACGACAGAAATCAAAACCTAGGTAGATTTATAATAACAAAGGAGGTATATTTGCTAACATTCCGCTCTAAAAGCTTTAATCTTTTTTACATTAAAGGTGCCTTCGTTTGAACAAAAAAAAATACAACAATTGCTATTTGGTTAGCTCAGCAAACTGATTCTCCATAATAAAAGAAGATTTGTCACGTTGTTTTAGAGCTTCTTCCACATTTCCTGTTCAATGGCACAGCGTTCATCCTTTGGCTCTTTTAACCCTGAGAATTGCTTGTCCCAAAAGTAATTCATTCTTCTTGGTCCTTAACAACGCTCGCTGCCTGAACTGCTCGACAAAGTCATCCTCCAAAAATCTTGAACTTTCGAAGTAACTTTTCCGCACATTTTTGACTACCGGAGGTGCTGATGGTGATGGGCGTTTCTTCAGATCCGCATCGTCGTTCTCTACAATGTCTACAGTTTCCTGGCTATCCAAGGGTTTCTGTGGAGAATCCTCTGTTGGGTTAATTCCGATAAGTTGGCGGATATTGCTCAGGTGCTCCTTAATCGCCAAAATATCATCCTTCACTCGATCTTGTGAACTAGTACTTGAAGTGTTCGCTGCATGGTTGTTCTTGTCCAGTTTTAAGTTAGTGGAAAAAAGATTTTTCTTGACTTTCTTTATATTCTCGCATTGTTTACGGAGAAGATCCCGGTAACGCTCATGGGACATGCACTGCTCCTCCAGGAACAGCATGCGGTTCTGATCAGGCATCTTGAAGATAGGCAAACGCCTTGAAGTTCTTGGCTTATTTTCGAATTCTCGTTCTGTCATCGTTTCGGTGGTAACCTCCTTTTTTAATAAGTTATCCACGCACTGGAACTTGTTCGGTTGAAGATCCTGGTTCGAGTTACTTCGTTTTCTGGTCAAATTTGTGATGTCAGATTGGCAATCCTCGTTGGTTCCTGTTTCTCTTCCCATTTCACTTCCGGTGACCATCTTGTTGGGGAATATGAAATAAAGAATTCCTCGCACGACGATGACAAAACGATAGGTCACAAAAAATAAAAGTAAATGACTTTTTCCTTTCACCTCCGAAATGACATTAAATTCTCTGCTTTCTAGATAGTTTTATATAAATGTTGTAAAATATTTAGTGTTGTATAGATCTTTAAAAGTTTTAATAAAATAATATAATGATTATTGTCTGAGTTTTAAAATAAAACTAATAATGATTACGGTCCCTGATTAAAACTTTAAATTTTTAAAATAAAAAATAAAAATCCTGGTGAAAATGATGTTCTCGTTTTTTGCGTATTTCGATTCTAAGTGTTTTATTTTTTGGTTAAAAAAATAGATCAATATTCATTATTTACGGTCCCTGATTAAAAATAAAAAACCTATATACATATATCATAGTATATATAATAAATTAGCTAATATTTTTAATGGGAAAAATATGACATTTTTAAAGGGACTCGATTTAAATTACCTATTTTTTAAACAGAGAAAATGGAAAATGGAGTTTCTGACGTTTTTCGCTAGTGATTTCTTTTAAATCCTCATATTACTAAAACCCAAAACCGGGAATATAGCTTACCCATCTTGGCCGCCGCGGTGGTGCTCATCAAGAAGGGTTGCAGCATCACATTGCCGGCCAATCGAGCGCCGGATCCGATGATTTGCTGCGCGGTTCCCGTCGCCGGCTGCTGCAGCTGGATGATCCGAGTGGTGGGCAAATTGGTGGCGGTCAGCCCGGTTCCTCCCGCACCGGGACCCCTTCCGGGCGCCACAGTTGCTCCGCCCGAAACACTAACGGCCGTTGGCGAGGCCGTAACGCTGGTATTCAGCTGCGGGATGCTGGGCGCCCTGATACTGATGCTCGTGGTGTTCAGCTTGGCGGCGGGAAAACTCTTGCCCAGCGGAATGGGTCGCACATGTCGAGGCGTTACTGTCGTTCCGCCGGGAGTCGTGGTCGTCACTCCACCTGTGGGCGTGGCCACGGCAAAGCGAGGATTAAACTGCTGCCCCGGATTCTGGCTCACATTGGGCGTAGACACATTGGAGGAGTAAACCAGCGTAGCCTGGTGCTGTCTCTGTGGCAAAACAGTGGCCACATACGCCTGAGGACCTCCGCCAGGACCTCCCGCCTGTTGCGGCGTCAACGGTTGGCCGGCAGAAACGGTTAGAGCTGAAATAAATCGGGATTAGAATGGGTTTTCAGCAGGGTTCGGAAAAAAACACACTCTGTAAAAAACTTGTGTTATTAACGTGTTTAAAGTCAAAGTGTTAAGTTCAAAAAAAGTTATTAACATGTGTGTTAAATATTGTGGCTTGCCTATGTTAAAAACATAAATAACACACACAGTTTATTTGTGTTATTTACACGACGTGTTTTTTACACAACGTTTTTTTAACACAATGAGTTTTTGACATTAAAACGTGAGAAATATATGTTGAACTGAAAAATTCACCGTTTTCTGTAGTTGAAAAAATTTATATATTCTTTGAAGCGGTTAAAAATAACAATTAAGATATCCTGGCCCAATTCGTTAATGGCCATAAAATGTAATTTTCATTTGTGTTAAAAACACAGTGTGTAAAAAACACGTCGTGATTATTTTTCACATTTTAACACTTTTGTTTTCGAATAAAAAAAAAATACAATTTTACAAGTTTTTAACATGTGTGTTAAATTCCGAACCCTGGTTTTCAGAGTGTTAGCAGAGTAATAACTCACCTGTTGGCGCCTGAACTGGAGTGGTGGTCACCACACTGGCATTCGGTAGCCCCGCCGATGTGGTGATAATCCTCTGGCGAGGCTGATGAATGGCCCTGATCAGCTGCACCTGTCCCGTGGGACTCTGCATCCAGGTGGCACTGTTGCTGGACGAGATCACCGCCGACGGGGGTTGCGAGGACAGCGCCACTCCACTTCTGCTCACCGCTGCCGTTGCTCCGCGCACAAATCCTCCCGTTGAACTCAGAACCGTGGGCGCCGTGGGCGTCACCGTGGCCGAGGATGTGGCTCTCAGTGGAGTCACCAGACGCTGACCCACTCCAACGCCACCCATCTGCGTGGCCGTCACACTGGCGCGGGGTAGATAAGTAGCCTGGGTAACCGGCCTGGTGACCGTGATGGAGGCATTTGCTCCACTCCTCGCCGGAGCAGCTGGTATGGCCGTAATTTGTGTTCTTCCCGTGGCCGTGACACTTTCCAGCTGCTTTATCATGGGCATCACCACACGGACCTGCGTCGACTGGCCACCGGCTCCGATTGCCCTTATGGAAGCCGCCGTTGTGCCTTGTCCTGCATTCAGAGCAATCGGTGTGGGATTGGGATTGGCCGCCGCCACTTTGATTGTCCCACCGCTGAGGATCGGAGTGCCCGAAATGGATATCCCACCGCTGTTATCGGACTTCACATGGGTAATCTTGGCGGCCACTGACGGATGCGCTGCAGAGGATGGCAAATGGGATGGCAATGAGTACTTGTTTATGACGCCGCGCAGCTGCAGGGGCGGATGTGAGTGCGATACCAGGGATGCGGATGCAGATGCGGATGCTGAGGCGGATGCCGATGCGGATAACGATCCAGTGGCTGCCAATAATGATGATGATGATGATGGATATATTGATGGCAGCAATGACAACGATGGCAGTGCATGGGGATGCAGTTGTTGGGTGCGGATCTTAATGGTTTTCAGGGGGGCTGTTTGAGGGGTGCAGTGTGTGGCTTCAGTGAGATTTCGGTTAAAAGTTCCACAATGGAACACAAGCAGTGGACAATGGACGGACAGGTGGTGTTAGGCAGGGATATCGACATTGATTTAAGTTTTTTTTTATTTTAGTTAATATTAAAAAAAATTGGAAAATGATTGGAAACTTTTTTTTAGGGTTCATAAATTGGATATCTATATTTGTCAAGACCAAACCTAATATAAAGTTACGAAATTTTTTTAATTTGAGATTTAAACTTGTCAGAATCCAATGAAAATTTATTTTTTAATGTATTTTAAATATTAATTTAGGGAAACAATTTTTTTGAAAAAATTGGTTTTTGTAATATCTCTAAAATAACATTTTGAACCTGTCAAAATCTAATTAATATTAATTTTTTACCGTTTAATATTTAAGAAAATAATGTTTTTGAATTAAATTAATTTTTTACGCTTTACTATTTAAGAAAATAATGCTTTTGAACAAACATTTTTTTTGTTTAAATGTCCATAAAATAACATTCTTAAAGATTTTTATACCCGTTACTCGTAGAGTAAAAGGGTATATTGTATTCGTGCAAAAGTATGTAACAGGGAGAAGGAAGCGTTTCCGACCCCATAAAGTATATATATTCTTGATCAGGATCACTAGCCGAGTCGATCTAGCCATGTCCGTCTGTCCGTCTGTCCGTCTGTCTGTCCGTCTGTCCGTCTGTCTGTCTGTATGAACGCTGAGATCTCAGAAACTATTAAAGCTAGAAGATTGGCATTTTGCATGCAGATTTTAGGAGTTCCTACGCAGCGCAAGTTTGTTTCAAAATGGTGCCACGCCCCCTCTAACGCCCACAATCGCTTATTTACGATTTTAAAAATTTTAATATTTTGGTAAAGTAAAAATGCAGTTTTATTGTGTTTATCAATACCTATCGAAATGTAGAAGAAATTTTTCAAATCGGACCATTCGTTAAAAAGTTATGCGTGATCAACGTTTTCTATCTCTATCTCCATCTCCCTCGCCTGAGTAACGGGTATCTGATAGTCGGGGCACCCGACTATAACGTTCTCTCTTGTTTTTTTATATATTTAAAGTTATTCTTGAGCTTACTGGGAATCAGCCAATTAAAGCTTCCAAATCAGAACTGTTGACAACCCTGCCACGAATGCACAGTAACAACAAAACAAACACATACACACACACAGTGGCACAAAGAGAGGAGAACAGCTTTTGCTGCGAAAGTGAGGCACAAAGCGGAAATTGAAACAAACAGTGCGCGTATGCGAGAGCAAAAGAGAGTGCACAAATGTTATGTATACAGACGCACACACGGACGCAATGCCAATACGTATATACACGCGTACGTATATAAATATAAATATTCCACTTGGATATCCGTGAACTTACCTGATGGCGCTGTAGCTGTACTTCCACCGCCCACCGGCCCGCCTCCCGCGCCGCCTTCACTCGACGCACTCATTGTTTCAAGTTTAATTTGCGATTCCTGCAAGGCACAACAATTTTAGAATGAGATTCCACTTCCACGTTTTACATGCTTTTCGCCTCCTCCTCCCGTTCACTCCACACCCGCCCTCTCTTTCTCTTCTTATCACTGTGCCTATGTATCCACAAATTCTCTGCACACGCACGCACACAAAAACAAGCTGAGAAAGGCGGTATTTTAATGGTTTTTCGTTAAAAGCAACTTGCCTTTTGTGCTAATTAGCAGCACTGCGATTAACGGTTTACAATTTTTACCGCGCTTGGTTTTAATTAAAAGAATTTCCCTTGTTTTTCTGCTCTTCTTTTCACAATGTAGGCTGTAGTACCAGTCGTTGGTTGTTGAATAATCCCGACTCTCGCTCCTAAGTAGTAATCGATAGTTATTTTTGGGAAAAATACCAAAAGTATTTTTAGTTTCTTTAAATAGGTATTTAATTTTATTTATTTTTATTTATTATATTTATTTATTTATATAGGAATTAAAAACATTTATAAAAGACTGGACAACTAAATAAAAAAGTTATTTTCAAGAGATTTGAGAATCATTTGGCCAAGAACCTCGGCATTTTGATTTCCAATCAGAGTTGGTTGGAAAAGTTGGGAACACGATCCGTGTTGAAAATTTTATTGAATCTTTGAAAACCAGAATTGTTACTTTTTTTTTATTAAAAGTCAACATTTTAGTATCACCAGTAAGCATTAATTACTTTAAGATCAATTTAGAACTCACATGCGCTTTTTTTTGTTTGTTTGTTTTCACCTTGGTTAAAAATTTTAGACAGCATAATAAAAAATCAAATGTTACATGTTTTAAGTTTCGTGAAAATTTACAACAAATAACAGCTGTTTGAAAATTCAACAATTTAGTAATTCAGCAGTTTAGGGAATACCGTGAATGTTTCTTCACCTCTACTTTTAGTTGTGTGCACATCCCTTTTTTTAGTATTTAATGTGCTCGCTCAGTATTTTCCCCAAATACACCTGAGGCCACACTCGCCACCCCCACTTTTAGCTGTGTTTTCAATCGTTGCCTTTTTCCACTGGTCTCTCTCGCGAAGTAGTTGGAAAAGTCACTTTTGCAAAGTTTTTCGCTGGGACCAAGAAGCCAAATTTTCCAAAGACCCAAAGGAAATTGTGCGGACCGTGCGTGTGTGTGCGAGAGTGTGTGCCATCGTGAGTGTGTGTGTCTGCGAGTGTGGGCCGCAATTAAAAGCAATACTGAAAGAACCGACACAATCACACACGGAAAAGAACAGTTTAATTCAATTACAAGTGAAATTAAAGTGAGTGCCCGATAATTGTCAACTGGCCAGGTGGACGCGAAGGGCAGCGGAGGTGTTACGTGAACAGTCCGGAGATCGTCGAGGGCCAGAAAATCCCTTTTGGTGGCTGGCTGAAAGTAAAGAAATTGATTTTCCATTTTCCACAATTGCAATTGGAAGCAAACGAAAGCAAAGCAGAGAAGGCGAAGGCGAAGAGGAGAGCGCAAGTGTGTGTGTGCGTGTGTGAGAGCGAGCGAGGGGGTGTACGAGAGAGAGCGGGCGAAGGAGAGAGCAGCACTTCCAGGCGTCGCATCCTCCTCCTTTTTCGCATGCAATGAATATTGTCGGGGAATATGAATATAGCTCCAAGGATATGCTGGGCCACGGCGCCTTTGCCGTCGTCTACAAAGGACGTCATCGCAAGGTAAGAAGCGGAATGCTTTGAAGCACTCAGTCATCATATTTACAACCCCAACCGACCATTCCATTCCGTCATGTTATTAACCTGTTTTCCCCACCAACTGATCCGTTGTTATTGTTTTCATTTTAATGCGGGCTCGGTCGCATTTGTAACTAATACAATAACAAGCCCCAAAGTTATTAACAATGCGCCATTGTCAAAGGTAAACACGCAGAAACGCCAAAAGAGCCAAAAGCCCGCTCCGCAAATGTCGCAAATATAACGAAAAATCAGCTGATCACAGTGTAGCTAAGCAATATAAATAGTTATCAAATGAAATCACCCACAAAAGCATATAAAAATGTGTTAAAAAGGCGAGAAACGTTTTTAAAAAATAAATAAAATCAGGAAAACATTTAGAAATCTTTGTTTTTTATTAGAGCCCATTATTAGAAAAATATTTCAAGTAAATATCGTATGTTCTAGAAAATAAAACACTTCTTATTTAAGAATTCCAATAGGGCTTAGAATATTTTTGATCGAGAAATGAAAAATTTTAAAGATAATACAAAGTAATAAATAGCTAAATGTTTATATTTATCTATTGGTATAGTATTTTCAATAACATAACTTTTTTTTTTGCCTAATCAGTATTTTTATAATTTTTTTGATTTTTCAAATTTAATGTTTTTCGACCCACTGTACCGAACCCAATGAAATTGCTGAGCGAAATCACAGCCCTTTTGTGGAGGGCTTCAGGCGTGGCTCCATTTTTTGTTTTCTTTAAAATTTGCGTGTTGTTTTTTCTTTTGTTTATTTTTTTTTCCAATTGTTGCCCCTTATACCCTCTCAGTATTTCTAAGCAAAATTTGGGAGCCACACGCACGTGCGATTTCTTTGGGCGATACAAATGAAATACTTAAACACCACTGCGTATGATAAATATACAAATGTGCGCATTAGAAGTGTGTTGAACTATTTCAGGGTCATCTTAGAAATAATGAAAATAATGGCGCGTTTTGGGCAGCAAAAGGGCTGAGAAATTCCGATGAGATTACAAAGTAAACAAATTAAAAAAACTATAGATTTCCATATTTAAATCGTCACTGATTTTTAATAGCCTGTTACTTGTAAATGCACGCTTTAATTGCAGCTGGAAAACCTTTGGCTCTTCATTAGCAAATAATCAGTTAAATTCGTTGTGAATATTTCAAAATAAAAATGTTTATTCGACCATAAATCATGCATATTTAGACGCCATAATAGGCTTTTTTAATTGTCACCAGCTTAACCAGTTAGGCAAATACACATAAATGCGGCAGGTCAAGCAACTTTTATCAACAAAAAATCGAAACTGGTATAAAAAGAAATAGTTGAAACGAAAAAAACATCCGAATGACGGTTTTTTTTAATTTAATTTTCATTGAGTTTTAAAAGCAAAACAAATCAAAACAACAGAAAACACGCAAAGTGAAAAGCTCGAAGCGAAAAGTTTCTTGAAACAGCTGCCAGTTATTGCATCAGCTGTTTTGTGTATCCATTAAAAACACGCACCTACACACCATATGTGTTTCTCTGCCCAAAAACAATATATATAATACATAATACCTGCTTGTCCATATGATTATGCCGACCAATTTTATCTCACACATATCATTTAGTGTGTTTGATTTTCATTATTTTTCTTTTTCACCGATCTTGTTTTTGTTAGTGCAACAAGGCATAGAAAAGAAAAAACGCTCTTATCAACGCAGTTGTTGTTTTGTGTACTTTGTTTTTCTAAATTGCTCAAGTTCGTCTCGTCAGTAAATGAAATCACATTATTAATTGCAAATGCAGTGTGACAACAACAACAGTAATAACAACTACAATAACAATAGCAGTAACAATGACAATGGCACAATCGGTTCACACGTAAACCAGACATTCGTCTCGTCTCTTTTCAATGATGTAAGACCCTCTCTTTCTGTCAATTTGGATTTGTCTTTAACGTTGGGTTTCTCCTTCTCCCTTTTACTAAAGATCTGTTGATTTCATTTCGGATTTCTCTCCTTTCTTTCTTGTTACTGATCGTTAATCATTTAATTGAAACACCAAAGTGTTAAATAAATAATTCAATTTTCTTAAGGAAATAGTAGGAATTCGTCATTGAATAAATTCCTTTATTCGATGTGTCATTTTAAGAGCAAGCGTTTTTTAAAAATCATATATTATTTTTTGTCTTGCATGGGTTTTTACCAAGTATCTTTTGTTTTTCTTTGTTATATTTATTTTTTGTTAAGGGGAAAATGTATGAGTAAAATCTTTTTATCGTGAGTTTCGTTTTAAATGTTTCAAATTATTTGAGTTATACCTTTTTAAAGATTTGGATCTGTGATAGAACCTGAAAAATAAATGTACCTAGATTCCAGATGATTGATTGTCACATTTATGTTATTTTTACTACAAAGGTTTGGTTATAAACACCTTTTATTCAACCATTATAAAACATAATAGTCCATGTACTTTTATTAGATATCTTAAAAAGCTTTATAGATACATATGTCTTTTATAATATTTCCATCCACTTGAGCGCACTTTGATGACATTTGGAATGTGAGTTGAGCTCAGTTCACTTCCCGCGTCTTTCCTTTTATGGCCATTTCAAGTAACTGGTTTCGTGGTCCGGCAGTTTTCGATTTCTTTCCATGACTTAACGTCTCCGGTAATCACTTGGGTTACTTAAGCAGCGCGAAGGACAAGGCATGTTGGAGTGCCTGGCATTTGTGTCTCCAAAAGAGTATCTTTTGCTTGCACGTGCTCAGAGGCACTGGCTAAAAATAGTCAAACATGTGCAGCGACGAAAGATACACACCCAAAAGATACTCGTACTTGTGGATAGGAAAGGAAATCCTCCTCAGAGGATCTCAATCCGAGACCAAAAATAAACGACAAACAGCTGCGGTGCTAAGTACCGTCTGGTAGTTTTCCCTTTTGCCATGAATGAATCCATCATCAATCTTTATCTGGCGGATACGCTGGCATGTGGAAATCCAGACGACACGTGCTTCCATAATTCACCGAACAGAACGCTCCGCTCCGTTTTATCGCCAAATTGCATAAGCTGTCGGCGACGACGGAATCATGCAAAAATTACGTTCTAAGCGTGTAAAGTTTATTGTATATTCAGAAAAAAACCCTCCCCTTCTAACATTGCGTAATGTGCATATTCATATGTTTTGTTTGTCCATAGCGAAAATGCAATGGCAATTTGCATTTGATTTTGTCGCCGCCTTTTTACTTTATTTGCTTGCATTCGGCGGCGAAAATGCGTCTCGACAAAGTCTATAAAGATCTAATCTTTCATCTAATCTTTTCAATTTTTATAATACTATAGATAGTAGGGTTTTTTAATGTTTTATAATGAAGCGGGACAGGCCCTTTTAAAAATGATAAGCAAATTGCTATAGATTTCCAGGAAAAAACGTGTAAATAGTTTTTTTTTTATATTTAATAGTTTAAAAATTAATTTAAAGAAGTATTAAGTTAGAAAATGTTTTCTCTTAGTTTAATTGTTTTTTTAAATTGTATTTGATAATTTACAAATTAATTTAAAAAAATCTTTTAATTATTCTTAGTTTAGAAAATGTTTTCTCCCAGTCTTATTGTTTATTCATCACAATTTTAGTACA